CTCACGAACTTAGTCCTACTTGGCAAAACCGTCTCTTCGGTCGTTCCCACTGCATTTCTGTGTGTGCTCATTTGCTTGCAAGTGATCGAGTATGATGAACGTGTTGTTCAAAGTGTGCCACTCGGTTTGGCTTCGTGCACCAACAAATCGCGGTCATCATTCCCTCACATTTCAATGGGAGTTTGTTGTATAGATCTGATGGACCTTTTGCATTCTTCATCACTCCCGACAGTTTGCAACTTTAAGACATGTTTTCACATATACATTTGATCCTGCATCCTTACCCTTCACACAACAAAACTGATGCGGATGATGTTCTCTCACCCCCTTCCCCACCTCCATATTCTCTCTTCACCAACCCGGCTAAGTAGAGGTGCCCGCTTGACGCACTTTGTATAGGAAATCAGACTAGATGATTACTTATTTAATCATGATGCTCTATGTGATACTTAATTACTTATCTCGTTTCATATATTTTTGCCCGAGTTTCATACATCCTTCAAACGTATCATATATTCGTTCATCCACAATTTGGTTTGACTGATTGACAATTTTACTCATAGTTTTTCCTCTCCATTCCACTGTTCATCACTCCACTTTCATAGTTCTTCGTCTCTGCCCCATCGCATACATTTTCCAACTTTTACCATTTTATGCAATCATCACTCTACTTGTATCCGCCCACTCATATATTTGTTTGTCCGTCTTTCAGTCCACCAGCCTGCCTGTATGTATGTACCGGCAAATCACACCGTCAGAGCACCTGCCCTTATAATGCCCTGCCCTTCGAATTGTATATGATTCAATTTAGTCTGTTTTGTTTTGTTTAGATTTTACTTCATTTTCATTGCTCCATCTTTTATCACTTTTTTCCCACCCATTCATCATTTCAGTATGAACTGCATTTCCGTCACCTGAAATGAAAAGTGAAAACAGTGACGCCTAGCCACACTGTTCCTATTCCTCCGCATCCTCCGCTCCTCTGTATGCAACACTGCCTTGGATACCCTCTAGAGCTGGCTGGCTGGCTGGCTTGCTCCCCTGGCCAGGACGAACAAGTGATTTTGCCCTACATTCGAATCCATTTTGCGCTCGCCGTCAATCGGCCTTTGTGGATGAAGGCTTTACGTTGCTTTGCGCGCTCAACTTGCCCTGTCAGCATGTATGGAAGTTTATTTTGTATCAACTATAACGCTATATTTTTGCGTGATTCTTCAATTCTCTTGTGATCCTGCCTTTTCACCATCTTTCTCTATGGCATTTTGTCTCATCTTCTAGGATCTAATTATGTCCTAAGCTGCCTGCCTCTTCCCCACTCGCTCGGCCGTTTCTTTCATCCAGCCTCCTCTTCATTGTTTCGCATTTTCATCCGACATGCCGCATGAAGCTCGAATGAGCCGTTGCCCTGTAATTATCAAAACGATGTCTATTCCTCTCTTCTGCCTTCACTATTCCAGCTCTTTTACTTCACCATAATCTCTCTATGGTCGGCCTTTCGATAGAAGAATTCAGCTTTTCTCGGAGATAAACACCATATCTATTAGCTTTTACATTATGTTCACAACGATTCGCAACAATTTAACAACTTTTCCGACAGCCTCAACAACAGCCCTATTCGCGAACATTTTGGGGCCACCCCACCGGTCAGGGAGCATATCCGGCGACTGGATGCTCACGAACTTAGTCCATTTTGATGTACACACTTGGACATCAAAAATTGCCCACAGTTAGGTCTGCAAGGGATGGTCTTCATAATAGTCGAGAAAACAATCGTAAACGGTAACAAAATTATACCTACCCATTCGTTTAGATGTTGCCAGGCATCTTATTTGAAGCCGGATTGCTTGGCTCTGCAATAAACTGTTGCTGGCAGTAAATGCATGTGAGTATAAAAGCGCTTACTTTTAGACTAACTAGCATCAGTACTAAGCCTCTTTTCCATTGCTGTCTCTCACGAGTCCTTTTTTCGTATTTCATTGCCGGCAATGGTTTGATAATTGTCATGCGCCAATCTCGAAGCCTCCTCACCAGTCAGCAGAACCCTCGGAATCGGAGCCAGCTCTTGCTTCGCATCATAGGCTTCTCATTCCTCGTCTCTTCTCCACGTTTGCGTGTATATATGTGCATTGTCATGTAATGAGATAAACACACACATTCTCGGCTTTTCATCTCTTGTTCTTCCGTTCCGATTGACTGTGTTCACGTCCAGCTGGAATTCAGAAGACGACCCAAAAGGTAGTCATTCTTCAGTCCGTCCGCCTACTTCACGTTCGTGCCGGTGGAGAAAATGCAAAGCACACGACGCGAGAATAGGTTTATGCCAAGGAATCTTGAATCAAAAGCTGAGTAAATTAATGGGCTAACAATGTCCACGGAATGGTGAATAGATTTGGTGAAAACAAGAATTGAATCATTATTTTGTTTGGATTATAAGCACACAAAAAACCATACAGATTTTAGCTCAACTTTAGCCTTGATATGAGGCTTCGGTATATTTTATTCAACTTAGTGGTACAGAGAAATTATAAAATGCTAAACACAACCACAGCCTCACGCCTAATTTAAGGTGAATCAGGAGGTCAGAATGGCAATTTGACGAGAAATCCCGGAAGACAAATAGGCAAATTCTACGAATCTGAATTGGCGTGTCGAAAAATAGAATAATATCCTAGCTGAAGCATGAAATCAAGCATACAAGCAAGTATACATTCGGTTCGTATGAATAATTTCTAGATTCGACGAGGTGCTTTTGCAATTCGTCGGCTTTCCGCCCATTCAATTTTTTCCTCAAGCGTAAAAGTAAGGTTTATTCGATTTGCACTAGAAACTAGTTAACGTTGCCACGACCCAACTGGTATTACATTACAGACATTCTCGTTGATCTAAATTCCTGATAAGAGAAGTCCAAAGGTGGACTTTCTATCATTTGCCTGGGGTAGTTATCAGAACTACTTTGTGATGTGGCCTGGCCAATTCTCGTCAATCTGTGTATGTCTGGAGGATGGAATGAAAGCAGAAATCTTCCATGGGGTGGTGGTGTATTTGGTTGGGGTTAGAATTTATATTGTAGAATTACCAAAGAAGTATGAAATTATATAACGGTGCATCCAAACATTTTCACATGAAGCTTTTATGGATGTGAACTCACATTTGAAAAATGTAGGCGCCATAAACCCAATCCCAAAAGTTTCGTATCGGGACGAAGCAAACTATGACTAGATTTTAACATTACAAATTCAGCCAAATTAAGCAAATAAAAATGTGGAAATGGCAAAGTTATGATAGCGAGCACAAGAAAGTGAGGGCGCGGATCGCATGGAGAGCGCACAGCCAAAGTAAATCAATCCCTAAGGCCCGGAAATGATGCTGTGCTTGGAGAATTCACACTATTTCTGAGGTCAGCTCTCGTAGGCTGCCGGTTTGCATGAGCTGAGAAAGTCAAATATTTGATTAATTGCATGGCCTTGAGCAAAACTCGGCTGAGCAAAGAAATAATAAAATATAGGCAATCCATGTAATTAGAAGGCGCATTTGATCAATGCAAAACTTTGCTTAGAAAAGTGAATTTTTGCCAGCGAGATTTTCATTTACATTTTTGATAGAGCACAATCCCCTCGAAACCTACTTAATGATAAGTATTTATGATGACGCCGGCCCCTGAAAAAGGATAACCAGCAATAGTGCCTTGTCAATATTGAAGGATAAAGTTTTATAACTGTGCTTCGCATCAAAATGTTAGTGTTTAAATTGAGCTCCATCCTAACTGTACTTCATTTGATTTTCTGGATTAGGATTAAATGATACAGGCAGGCTTGAAGTCCACATTGCTGGAGTCGGAATAGAAAAGCAGATTAAAATCATATATAATAATCTGTTTGGGTTATCGTTATCTACTTAGTCGAGGATAGCAGTAATGATGATGCGGTTTTTTTCATTCTTGCTAAATAAGTATGCTTATTTCGGGTGACATCGTCCCAACAACTTGCTCTTTTATTAGCATCGTCTATCATATCGTCTTTTGACCCACAATTCATAATACATACCAAAATGCCAAGTTCCACGATGATACGGTGATAATAGGTTGGTAGTTGTTGGTACTTCACAGCCCTCTTGAATGAAGAAGATACGATAGTAAAAAAGTAATCCTAGTATTTTGCACAAATTCTTATGAAACACAGCTGAGTTAATGAACCAATATCTTATTTAAGATTATATGTATATCCGTTTGATGACTATCTGCATGACATAACTCTTTTGGCGGAAATTGACATGTGGCACTCTATAAGGTCTTCGTCTTGTTTAGCATTTTTTAAACGGTAACTATGCGTCAACAGCAATAGCAGGAAACTTAAATACTTTATATTTATTCATCATAACATCTTCATGATACGCGTGGTGGACCTCACAGACTTGGATATCGTCTGAGGAGAAAATATTTTACTCTATTCATTTCCCCTCGCCCCAAAACTCCTGCTCTGATCAGTAAAGCAAAATATTGCGAGTCAAATGCAACTGAGAATTCTTGCTCATAATTGAGGATGTAT